CATGTATAGCCATATATACAGCCATTTACAGCCATGTACAGCTATGTATAGCCATGTACAACTGTGCACAGCCATGAACAGCCATGTACAGCCATGCACAGCCAAGCACAGCCATGCACAGCCAAGCACAGCCATGCACAGCTTGCACTTTTCTTTGCAGTAACCCCACAGAGCTGCAGCCCACCCTGCCCACAGCTCCCAGGCAGGAATTCTGCCAACTCCATTCCTTCCATCGCTTTGACGATGTCTATCACAGCTTGGTTTTTCACCATGGGATGCCTCAATCTATGAGATAAACTTTTAGATAAATGATTTGGACAAACAAAAGAATTAACCAGAATTCCAAATGACAGCTTCCAACACTTGGGCACTGGCCAAGGAACTTTCAAAAGCTGAAATAATAGCTCAGATCTGAGAGATTCTGCAAAGCCCATAAATTAAGTAATCCTCTTCAAACCCGCCGCCGGATCTGCCATGGGGCTGAGATTTGCCTGGACTTCATCCAAATAATGGGCTTCAAAATTAAATGTTTTCACAGGATGTTGTTTTTCGGATATTTTGGATGTTTTTAACTATTAAGTAAAGAAATAAACTGAAACCCCAAAGAACTTGTTATACATGAACATAGAGAAGGTCCCATAGGGTCAGAAAGGCACCAGAAGGTGCTAATTTAGGCCGGGGAAATGGAAATGAAACCATCAAGGACAAGTGATGAATGCATGAAAAGCTATACTCTGAGAAACAACAACTGCTGGGAGGGCAAATCCAACCCCAGCTGCACACACACCATGCAGCTTTGCATGGAGCTTTCCTGCCACAGGCACTGCGAGTGCATGCAGTCAGCATTGCCTTAGGGACCACTTCCAATCCCAAATGAGAGAGGGGCAGCCCATGTCAGAACCTGCAGTAAGCACTCCCAACCCATGCAGCCAAGGAGCCGCATTAGAGTCCCACCTTCATTTAGAAATGAAATACAGGTGGTTGTAAGGAATAAAAATTGCATCCTGTGAAATATTTATGTAGAATCATAGGATCGTTAAGGTTGGAGAAGACCACCGAGCCCATTAGTTCAAAATATTTCCAGCACAAACAGAAAACTAAAGATCCCATGCCTGGGGTTAACACCAGAAGCTGAAACAAAGGGGCCGTAAAAATATTTTCCCCACCTTAACGATAGAAGTATTTTAATTCTCAGGTGATAACACTAACAAGAGCTTGGAATTTTACATTGGCTACATCAGATAGAAGCGCAACAGAAGCTCTTTGAGACAAATCATTCATCCGGAACCTCCAGGCAAATAAAGCTGAAGGAAGCATTTCTGAGCTTGATGAATGTCCCATTAAAATGAACTTTTCATCACATCTCGTTTAGTGAGCAATGTGGGGAGCTGCATTCTGCAGCACACAACAGGAAGATGCCTTTGGGCTCATTGCCCACCTGCAGAGATGCAGTACTCTCCACACCCACCCTCTGCAGCTCAATTTGTGTGGGAGTGCCCTGCAGGCTCCCAGCACAGCCCCAGCCCCTTTGCACTCACTGCTTTTGCACCATCTGACATCATGTGCCAGTCAAGTGCCCAAAGGTGTCCTTTGCAAAGGGTAAATTGGTGTGGCAGGTGGACAAGTGGTCCAGTGGTTGGTGACCCTGCACATAGCAGGGGGTTGAGACTGGATGCTCATTATGGTCCCTTTCAACCCACACCATTCTATGTTTCTATGATCCTATGAAGTGCAGTTCCCAGCACATTCCCTGCTGCAGGGCTTCTTGTTGTATTCCTGCATGCATTCCTGTTGTATACCCAAGTGTGCAGTGAAATGGAGATGGAGAAATGGAAGAAATAGAAAATGCAACTACAGGTGCTATAGGGGGTCAGCATTCATGCTGGGGGTTCCAAAACCATTCGGAGATCCTGCAGGACAAGAATGCTGTGTTAGGGTTGTGAAAAGTGCCGTGCAGCAGCCATGAAGCCATCCGTAGACACCAGATGTGCTTGCAAGGAGCAAAGCAGAAATGCTGAGCATCTTGTCAAGTTAAGCTGCGCCCAGCCCAGAAGGAAGAATACATTAATAACCCCCAGATCAACATTTAAATCATTGCAAAGATGTCAGAGGAACTTATGTCTATGTCCACCAGACCCAGCATCCCTCTATGGAGAGAGCTCTAGGTTGCCCACAGCCTTCTGCCAGCACCCCGAGGAGTGCAGCCCATGCCCAGAAGAAGGTAATCTGAACTGCCAGGCTGTGGGGATCCTTAAAGTCATCCTCGTGTGGACAGATGCTCAAAGGTGTTATGGGAGGGTCATTATTGGGCCTTCCAGATAAGCACGGGGCCTCTGCTGGACGCTGGAGGGTGGCACACGGAAGGCAAAGCTGGATATCTGCAGATCTGTGATAACAAAGGAAGGAAGCAGAGGGACACCGGTGGCAAAGGAGAGCCTGAATGAAGCTCTCGAAAAAGAAACAAAGAGGTGATAAGGCTCCAGGGTGGAAAAATACTGGAAACAAACACTGAGCAAAACACTGGGAGGAAAAAAAGTACGGTGAATGGAGTGGTGAGATTGAATTCATGAACACGTCTGACCTTCCCTTGAGTAATGCATGGTCTGTGTTAGAGCATGCTGGAGAGTTTCATGCTCAGCAAAAGGAGCACACCAGAGATTCTGCTATCAGCTCAGGACCAGGGTTTGCTCCCACAGTGAGATTTGTATCACCTCGTGGTGATCCTGGTGGTTTCTGTTCCAGAAGAACAATTCATTTTTGGAAATGACTTAAAATATAGCTGAAAAGTCATCGAGTTATCAGAGACATAAAAAAAGTAATAGAAATCACTGAGTCCACTTTTCAGCACCGGAACGTGAGTGGGACTGGGCCCTTTTCAGGCTGCAGGATTGTGTTGGCTTTGCTCAGAGAAAGCAAAGATGTCTGTGAGCAACTGGGGGCAATTGGGCAGGGGGGAGATGGGGTTCTGATGTCCTCCTTCCCAAAAGCTGGGGATCGAGGGGTCAGGAATTAATTCCTGATGCTGTACTGTGATCTGATGGCTGGTCCCCACATGGACATGTTCCAGGGGGAGGAATTGAACTGCAGATACTTTTATTCAGAGTAAAACTGGCTCTCCTTCAGCTCAGTTTAATGCATTTTGGAATGTAATTTAATTTGGAAGGAGCACACCCACAAGTTTAAAGTGATGTGGCCGATTTCCATTGCGTTTCACGTGGGTTAACATTCAGGTGAGGTGAGGGGCAGCCTGGGCTGAGCACATGAATGGCCTCGAAGAGAAAACTTCCCCAGGTCAGCAACTTTCCCACTGGATTTCTGAAAGGAATGCTTTAATAGTGGGGATTTCAGTGTTTTCATCATCTGTTTTCTCGGCCAACAAATTACTCTGAGAACCCAGCAGTGCCGGGCTGTGCTCAGAAACCACCCTGGGACCAAACCCCCATCCCTGCCTCCCAGCACCCGGCAGTAGGGAATTTTCCCCTGCAGGATGGTGGGAGCTGCTCCTCTAACACCGCACGCTGTGTCAGTGCTCGGCTGGGAGGGTTTTTCTAATGCAAGAAGGAAACCTCAGGCTGGGCAGCTCTGAGAGCGGTGATATCACCCAGGAATGAGGGATGATTCATCTCTGCTGCACAGACAAAAGGGAGCTCTGCAGCCTGGTGTGGACGTAAAGGATGGGTGAAGCACTGCTGTTCCTGATGCATCTCAGCTCTCCTTCTGGAGGTGTGATCCCATCCAGACAAACAAAGCTTGCTGTGTTTTGGGTTCAGAACAGCCACAATCTGCCCCAAATCACGAGGCTGCAGCTCCCACCCAGCCCAGGCCAAAGCATCTTGCAGAGCCCAGGCACGGCAGCCTCAGACAAACCCTCCTGTGGCACGAGCAAACGCACGCGAAAACATTTTGCAGAGAATAGCACATAAATCAAAGTCACAGAAACCGGGCAACATGAAGCCACTTCATGAAACTGGACCTTTCTAACAATGCCTCCTTTGTTCAGCCCTGTTTGGAAGTCAGAGATTCTGGCCCAGCCCTGCCCAGGCAGAGCACTGTTTCCCAAGCTGCAGCATTACGAGGTTCCTGCTCACATCTCTGCTTCCAATGGAGCCCAGGTGAGAACTTTGCCTACTCTGCCTCCAGGCTGCCACCCAACACCACGCCACCCAACTGTGTCCTATCCAACACCACGTCACCCATTGTTGTCCTATCTGATGCTGTGCCACACAGTGCTGTGCTATCAAATGCCATGCCAGCCAGCACTCTCTATGGCACAAACATCCTTTGGGCATCCCAATGTAATTTGGGGGATGCAGTGCATTGGGTGACAGCCCTGTGCAGCTGAGGGTACACGACACTGCCCTGGCAGCCCAAGACCCTTCCTGGGCACAGCCACGGTGAGTTGGCACAATCTCCTAAGCTGCTTGAACCCGGTCCATTGTTCTGTTTGGAGTTCCAACCTTCTCCTCCAGCACGCATGTTGTGATGAACAACCAACAAAGCCTCTTATTTCACCAAAATATCACAGCATCTGCCTCACACTCTTGAGGAAGCAGCAGAAATTTGCATTGGCTGTGGCCACACGATTGGTTTCGGTCACTTGGTTCAGTTTTGCTTTGACCACATCAATCATCCAACCACCCCCAAAATCAAAGCGAAACCAAACTGAGCGTCTTCAAACCCCCGGGGATGTTTGGTGCTTCCCCAGAGATGCTGGGTGTTAGCGGAGGCTGAGAGCCCCCACCCTAGGCTCCCTTCCTGGCGGGGACAAGAAGCTCCGCTCACCTATCGGGTTGCCACCAGCTTTATATCACAGGACGGGGACCCCGCAGGGCCGCCCGACTCGGGGACGGGTCCCAGCCTCCCCCGGGGGGACGCGCCCCGCAGCTTCCCCACTCCCCGCCGGCTCCCCGCCGGCTCCCCGCCGGCCCCCACCCGGCCCCGCACCCCCCCGCCCCGCCGCCCGGGCCCGCCCCCCCGGCCCGCCCCACTGCAGGGCCGGCCTCGGGGCCTCGGAGCCGCTTTAAGTGGATGCGACGGCGGCGGGCGGGAGTGGAGCGCAGCGCTGGGCACGGAGCCCCGACCCCGCTATGCCGCACTCGGTGGCCCTGCGCGGCCCCTCGCCGTGGGGCTTCCGCCTGGTGGGCGGTAAGGACTTCAGCACGCCGCTGACCATCTCCAGGGTGAGCGGGGCGGGGGGCTGCATCCTTCCTTCCCTCCCTCCCTCCTGAGTCACTGTTCTTCGGCTCCGGCGCAGATGCTGCTCAGACCCTTTTGTAGTCTTTAGTTCCTAAGATTTGGGTTTAAAGTTAGCAGAGCGCTTGGGCTCGTTCCCAAAAGTGGGGGGCACCGGTGGGGTCGGGGCGGAGTCCTGTACGTAGCTGTGGGGTCTATGGACTGGTGGTTGGGTGAAGTATACTCGTAGTGCTACATGACAGCCCGAAGATGCGTTCTGGAAGCTTCTTAAAAGCATCTTGGTGAGTACGCAGTGGGTTCTGTGCGTAGAGAGAGTGAGCTGAGCCCCACGCACGGTGGGGTTGCACCCGTGCTCCTTGTCTGTGCCATAATGGGAGCAGTGCCCAATGCTTCTTTGCCCTTCCTCTAGGTTTGGGGTACCCGTGGGTTTGGTAAACATTGAGAGCATTGAGAGGCTCTGGGAACAGCTGGATCGTAAAACTGTTGTCCTAACACATAAAAGCTGTTTGCCATCTCTTTCTTCGCCCGCCAAAGCCATGACAGAAAATGGAAAACATTTACCCTGCACTAGAAAGAATGAATTAAGAAAGAAACCACCTCTTAAAATCTGCTGGTTTGTGTTGGAGCTCAGATGCGCCTATCGCATGGCTCCCAGTGAGTGCTTTTGTTCTGGTGCCCCTCATGGGGCGATGGATGTGGGGGAGCTCAGGGAGGGCAGATAGAGAGGAGGTGAAGGGCAAACTCTTTCCCCTTTCCCTCCCCACCCAAATGTGCAGGGTAATATTGAACTTCACAGTTGCCTCTTGGTGTCTGCGCAAGTGTTTCTGCTGTGAAATGGAACGTCTTAAGGCAGAGGAGGGAGCTGCTTTGCTGTTGCTTTGGAAAAAGTTTGGCTTAATGTTCAACAAGAGAAAACAAAGTCTGCTTCTGCACAGTGAGGCAGTGTGTAGCTGGGATTTGGGACCTCTGGAGGTGTGAGAACAGCGTTTCTTGGGACAGGTCCTCCTCTGAGCAGAGGAGGGTGTCACAGGGTGGTGCTCAGGTCATGGATCAGGCTCTCCTCCCTCTCATCCAGCTCCTGGTGCTGCCCTGGCTGGGAGGCAATGTTCCTGGGATGGTGCAGGGTGTGATGATGAGCATTGGGCATACTGCAGTCCCCATCCTCGGCTCTGCTCCTACCATAAAGAGCCCTTGCTGGCTTGGGAAATAACACCCAAAAAGGGTGCAGTGAAGGAGGACGAGCTGCTGGGTTCCCTCTGCAGTGGTAGCAATGGCCGGGGCTGGGGGGGCTCTGAGAGCTGTGCACAGAGCAGGTGTGCTGCCATGCTCCTTCCATCTCAGAATCATAATGAGATAGTTAAACTAATTGCTTGAGCAGCATTTAGGTCCCTCCGTTGGGCCAAACTGAGGCCGTGCCCCCTGGACCTCCCACCTGGGCAAGGGGAGATCTGCAGGGCTGCAGACAAAAGTGTGGGAGGAATCCTCTCCCCGCAGCCCATTGTTGAGGCTCTTGGCTGGCTTCCGCCTCCTTCCAAGTGCTCTCTTATTTATTTTGTATTAAAATGTCATTAAATTACAAACAGAGACTGTAAAAGGCAGAAGTCGTGGTGGGAGGAGGGAGCAGACCGTGGGGCTCCTGCGTCCTGCTGTGAGCATCGTCTGCCTGCCTGCTGCCCTCCTATGCTGTGTGGGGAGCAGAGTGGGGCACTGGGTGCATGGCTGTGTGCTGCTGGTTACAGTGGGAGCTCAGGGGCTGGATTTTGGGATTTGAGGTGGCTGTGGGTGGCTTTCGGACAGGTTTTGGTGCCAAAGGCTGTCTGCCTCTTTCTAATCCTATTCCTACTATTCCTACTTGTTGTGAAATGTGAATTCCCTGCGTAGGGATGGGGCAGGGGGGGAGGAGGAGGGTGAAAGAAAGTCTTAGTTGCTCATAGGTTGGTTTTTCTGGTCTTTGCTGAAGGAAATGATTTCTCTTCAGCCCCAATAACCCTGTGTTGTTTGGAGCTCATGCTGCTGCCTTCCTGGAGAGCTCTTCCAAAACCCACCTGAGTGCCATTGCTCTGAGAGCAGAGATGTTAAATTGGGGTGGTGGAGACCAACTCCAAAGTGGGGCTGGCGGGGGGGAGGGTAAGAGATAAAGCAGTGCTGTGAGTGGAGCTGTTGGAGCAGTGGGTGCTCAAAGCCAAGCCTTGGGCAGTACCTGCAGAGGATGAACATGAAGAAAACATAGCTTTGGCAGTGTGGAAAACAATGATGTCATACAACACTGGTTTGGAATGGGGCTTGAATGAGTTACCAGGGCTTGCTTTACCCATTAGTTCCCTATGTGGCCACAGTTGCACAGGTGCAGCTGGTGGTGGTGAGTCCATCACTTGCAGCTGTTTCCAAGGAGCTCATTAAATTGATCCATGATCTATTTGAAAGCAATTCTCTTCCCTCTGTGCTTTGATAATGATAAATGAGGATTGCATCAAGAACAGCTGATGCTGAGCACGAGGGCTTGAGCTGGAGCATGAAGTTGTTCTTCCTTAGAGATAAGGAAATACAAATGCTGGTGGGTGGGCCTAGGGGGAGCCCTGCTTTGCTTTGTGCTGTGCTTACACAAAGTTGGAGCTGGGCGTAGTGCATTGTGTAATTAAAGATTCCTCCTTCTAGGGATATTTATAGGGGAAGGGAAATGACCCAGAGCATCTGCTTAGAGTCTGTTTAATGACTCAATAGAAAGTGGGTTTGGAGCTTGGTTCATTTTCTGGTAGCTGTCAGCTGCTGTTCCTTGTCTGAGGGGGGTGACAATGGGGTATATGCCATGCCAGGGGCTGCTGCAGGTACGTGGAACAACTGACACACTGCTGTGCCCATAACCACATCAGTCACTGCTGTGGGTCTGTGTGGGATCACAGCTGGTCTGCCCCTTGTTGGGATTAGGAGATAATCAGTCATTAGTGTAACTAGAATGTATTTAATGGCCTGAACTTGCCCGTAGAGCTCCTGCAGCAGCTGGCATTGCCTCCTGCCCAGCTCTGCCAATGCCAAGCACTGCTGCTGTTTGTCATAGCTGCTTGGCTGAGCAGATATTGACAAATGGACTGAATCCAGTATTATTAAATGGTTTTTTTCCTTAAATTAAAAGGCTATTTAATGGCATTTAAGAAAAGGACATAGTTATTCTTTTATCCGCTGTTCCCCAACATCACCGTACCTGCTGGCCTCCAGCAGAGCATGCATTTTCAGCTATGGGTGTGGAACTGTAACATGAGGAGAGCAAGAAATAATGGGTCTGCAATCCATTATCTGGGCATTGTTTGGCAAGTTCGGGTTGGCTTTTCAACGTAAGGAACTTTTCTGTTTGAGCAAATAGTTCTGTTGCAGGCTGAGGTACTCGAGGAGGGGTGCTGTCTGTGGAGGAATTCCTGCAAGGGCTGCTGTGTTTGCTACCCCCGTGCTGTGCTGTGCTCCTGCCCACTGAATGCTGTGACTTATGGGGTGGGTGTTCTGCAGGCTGGGATGGCAGAGTGGGGCTGATAACACCATAGGTGCCCACCTGTTGGCTATAGGGATGCAGCTGGAGATGCCAGGGAAGGGAATGTGGCTTTCCCTTTGCTCAGCTGCTAGGCTGTAAAGTTGTTTCTTTGCTTTATATGCAAATGGTGTGTATTGGATTGTTTGTTAAATGGAAATGACCCACTTTGCTGTGTGCTCTGAAGTAATGGCTCTGATCGAGCCTAAAGCAAGGAACACCTCTGGCTTCTGCTGCCCTTCAGCTTTAATGTCTGTATGGAAGAGCTGTGTCTCTGTTGCGCATCTGTGTTTGTTTCAACATGGTTCAAATGGGAACAATGTTTCTAAATGGAAGGAATTCATTTTTGCTTGTTCTTTCACCATCGTTGGTCCCACAGTGATGGCTGTAAGGGCTCAGTGGAACATCTGTGCCGTTCTGGTACTCAGCACTCAATGTGAACTGAAGATGAGCACTTACAGAAGCATTACAGAGATGTTTGCTGCTGGAGGTGCTGAGACATGGAGGCTTCACTTAATAACTGGAAGCAGAGTAAGAGCTGGTGCAGGAGACAGCAGTGGTATTGCATGTTGGAAGGAAAGCTACTGCTAATTACCCTAATCAAGCACTCTGATAATCCCAAGTGGGAAACCAGGCGGAAAGAATGATTCACAGAGGTCTATTCATACCCAGGCTGACCTTGGTGCGGGTGCAGCAAAACAAATGCAGCACACCCCTGAGAATGCTTCAGGCCTCCACTGGGTCGAACAAAGCAGAAAGGGCTCTTTTGGCTCTTGTTAGAAAATTGACATCACCTTCATTTCAGAGATTGAAAGATTGCCTGTTGGGACAGGTAGGCAGAGCTGCTTGGAGAAGTGCATGGGTGTAACCTGCTTGATGCAAGGATAAAGTAGAATGAAGTGAGGTATCGGAGTGCTCCTGTTGGTGTGGGCAGCATGCAAGGGAAATACCTGGGGTGTTTGGTTTGGTCTTAAACTTTTTGTTGCTCTATAGAACAGTAAGTGTTGGTTAAACATAGAATCATAGCTTGCTTTGGGTTGGGATAGAGCTCTGAAGGCCACCTGGTCCCACTCCCTGCAGTGAGCAGGGGCACCCACAGCTCAGTGCTCAGAGCCCCCCAGCCTGCCCTGTGCCTCACCACCTTTAGCATAAGCAACTTCTTTCTTATAACCAATCTAAATCTCCCCTTTTTCAGCCTGAAGCCATTTCCCTTTGTCCTGCCACAGCCTGTCCCCTCTCCCTTTAGGAACTGAAGGGCCACTTGTGTAGGTGTTCCTGCCGGGGGGACATCGATCCTTTACTGCAAATATGTCATTATGGGCTATGTGGCATTAACACAGACGGTTGCAATCCACTCTTCTTACTTGGGGGAAGTGCAGGTGGTGTCTGCAGGTGACACAGTGAGTCCTAGAGCATGCACATCCTCTTAGAAATAATATTTGAACTTCTGTTTGATTTGAGCTCCGTGTTGCCTCCTGGCTCTCTGATACCCAAGCACTCAGTGAATTATCTATATGCTTTAAGTCCCCTGTGACCACAGGTGCTGGAGTGTGGGGCTGATAAGGCAGCCAAAGCAAACTTGTTAACAGGAGGTGCACGCTGTGATTTGCTGTGGGTGGGGACTGCAGTGAGGCACCAGTGAGCCCTGTGAGCGTGATGGGTTTGTGCACAGCCATGAGCACCACGTGTGCAGTAAGCCCTGCAGATAAGGGCTGAGATGTTTTGTTTCAACTTCAGTGCTTGCACACAGCCCCGAGCAAGAGGAGGATACGTTGGGTCATTGGAGCAGTGGCAGAGACATGGAGCACAGTGTGGTGTTCGGGGGGGGTGCAGAAAGTAAACCTCTCTGACCATACAGAACAGATCTCTATTTTAAAAAAATCTGTGAGAGTATTTCCACCCATAAGTTTTCCAAACATCACAAAGATGCCTTTGGAGCTCCTCCCTCACTCCATCCTTCTTGTCAACTGGAGAAGCAAAACCTTGCAGCTCATGTTCTCTCATTAAACCCTATGTAATTCTGCAGAAATACTGACCTTGGGAGCTGTCACCCACTGTAAGGCACAGAATGCTGCCTGGAAGCCCTCAGCACACACAGGGCTTCCAGCACAAAGGCCAAACCCTGTGGAATATCTCCATGCACAGATAAAGCAGAGGGAAGTGGTGGTGTGGCAGCAGCATGGGGCTGATGGCATGTTGCTTTCACCAGGCTGGGATTTCAGGTTTGCTCTCCAGCTGGGTGTGAGCTGCTTGTGCTGAGTGCCTTCTGCTTGCTGGCTCTGGCAGGGTGTGCTGGGCATACTTTGAGCAAGCAGCTCAGGTGTCCTCTGCAATGTGCCCGTGGGGTTCTCCAAAGAACCCTTAGAATTCCTAGATATGGTGTGAGAAGTTGGGGCTTTCCTACGGTGCTGAGCCTAATGGGACAAGCTTTAGGTGCTGCACAGCTTCTATATAAGCAATTATAAAAATGCAACTGCATTAGTGAGGAATGTATGTTGGCTCAGAGCACAGTGCTTTGGAATGCTGAGGAGCATCCCTGCAAAGAGTGCTCAGAGGATTTGGGGGCTCTGTCTCTGGATGGCCATCAAACCCTGGCTCCTCCTGTGCTCAGACAGTGCTGCTGTCAGAGCAGCCGTGGCTGCACTGTGTGCCTCCTGTGAGCACAAGTCTGCTTTGTTTAGAAGCTGAGAATTTTGTCACACTATCTTGAAAGGCTCTCCGAGGCTTTAATCAGGCTCTTTTGATCATGCTTGCAGATCAGAAATTTCCCTCTGACTTGTCAATCTTAAATCCAAGGTAATGTTCCAGTGTGGCCTGCATAGGATTGCATGGGACTGTGCATCTTAACTTATTAAGTGCTGTGAAAGTGATTTCTTTCATTGATGGGATGAGCTGTTTTGTTGCTGTAGCACTCAATATGTTCATCTGCTAACATAAGTTGTTAATGTGACCAATAAAGCTTTTGCTTAAGCATTAAGATGATCTTAATGGTCTTTCCCAATCTCAATGATTCTATGATTCATTATCCCAGCTGGTGATGTTGGCCTGGTTCTGGTGCTCTCTTGTGCAGAACTGCTGCTGGGTGGGACTGCAGTGCTTGGCTCGGTCCCTGGCTGCCCATGGGGTGGTGGCAGTGCCCCCGGAGCAGCACTGGGTTCCTTTTGGGGGTTGGCTCTGTGCTGACTGCTTGTGTGGGGCTGGTGCCCTGCAGGGGTTGTGCTCCAGGACTGAAGGAATTGTGCTATGCGTGTTACCAGAGTCAACTCTTAGTGCAAATAACACTGCTTACCAAGCTAGATAGCTGGTGCTGGGAGCTGTGCTGGCTTAGCGGAACACTTGCCTCAGTGTGCATTATTTCCTTGGCCCAAAGTCAGATGCTAGCACTCAGTAAATCACAGTGGGGCCCCAGCGGCCAGATGAGAGGCACTGCTGGACTTGGGACTTTTCCCAGACCTGCTCCAGAGCATCCCCATGGCTGCTGGTTGATCCTATTGCAGCATAGCCTGGTGGTACTTCCCATGGGCAGTGCTGGGATGGAACTGCCCTTGATGTGGTGACACTGATGTCCTCAGTGGGGAGCAGTGCTAGGCTCTGGTGTAGGTCTGGTGCTGTTACTGTGCTCGTGGTCCCCCCAGTCCCTCTGTGCTGGCACTGGAATGGTGCTCTCAGTATAGCAGCCGTATCTCCCACAGAGACAGAGCACAGGGAGGAGGGTGGTGTGTGGGCATCTGCTTCCCCTTGTTTCAGTTCTGTTTCTTCTAGTGTTTTGTGTTGATAAACGTTCTAACACGTGCATGCTTTGAGAGGGAAACAAAGAAGCAATCCTTTACTCCTGCACAGGGGTTAAATGCAGAAGGTTGTTGTCTCCTGGCAGGGCTTGGCTCTGTTGGAGCTTGGGGAATGCTACATGTTGTGTGTGCTGAGGGGCACGCGGGGGGGCTGGGTGTGGATGGAGCTGCAGAGCTGTGTGTGCCAGAGGCTGTGATGGGGGGGAACTCCAAAACAGTTCGTTCCTGGCACTGCTGGGCACCTCCCAGACAAACAAGCCTTGTTTATGAAAACCAGCAACACGTTCTATTCTCAAGAATCAGCTCCTCTGATGGAGGCCCCTCAGGAGAGCACGCAGTCTCAGTGCCTCAGAGCAGATTGGTTTTGCAGCGTTTGTAACTTTGTGATGTATCCAGTTACTCTGAAACTCATGAGTGCTTGGTTCACATCATGCACCATGCACACTGCTCTCTCAACAGAGGCATGGATGGATGGGTGTCTGTGTTAGCAGCTCCCTGCTGTCCCCCCTGCTGCCCTGGGATTTCAAAGCTCTGCAGGTGTGGTGTCCATGTAAAGTGCATGGCTGCACCCCCACAGAGCTGTAGCTGTGGAGCACGAGGGTCATGGCTTGAAGGGAAGCCCTGTCCCTGGTTGTGGAGGTGGATACTCAGTGCTGGTTTGGTAGCAGCTGTTGTTGGGAAGGAAATGTGCCTTCTGAAGTCCTCAGAGTGTTCTGGTTTGAGCTGACCCATGTCCCTCTGCTCCTTCGCATTTACTTGTGCATTTCCATGCAGTAACCTGGAGGTTGGACTGCAAACGTGTGCTACTACAAAGCTTATTACTTTTAATGCTGTGCCCTTGTCTCCATGGCTTGCAGGAGGCTGTACCACACAGAGCAGGTAGGGCTGTACCACAGCCTGGTCCTGCCCTCAGAACAACACAGTGGCACAGCCTGGTTTGCTTTGCTCTGGCACCTTTTGGTGCTGATGGTGTCACAGCTGCAGTTGAGAGAACTTGGCTTGGAGCATCTGGAGCATTCATCACTGACAGATGTGAGCTCTGGACCTGCCACGTGTTCCTGTGCTGGTTCCCAGACTATGACCCTGATGCTGTATCTCAAACTAATGTGTTCTTGGAGCTCAGCTCCATGTCCAGCCCTCAGCCATCTCTATGGATAGCATAAAATGCTAATGTGAAGATGCTGCCAAAATAATCTGAAATAAACCAGAAACCAAAAATAGGAAACAGCAAAGAGCCCCATCTATGAGCAGCTTTTCTCCAAGGAAGGTATGATCTGGTTAAGATCAGTGCAAGGGGAGAAATGCATCAGACATGAAGAACAGATGAGAACAAGATGTGGTGGTGTTGGGTCGGGCTGTCAGCACAGGGCTGGGTGGCCGACACCAGGGGATGCGTGTGCCAGCACGTTGTTATGCAGAGGTGAATGCTTGGAGGTGCTCCACAGGCTCCTGCCTGGCACAGGGCAGGGCTGGCAGCTTCCCAGGCAGCGGAAGGAGCCTGATGTTGGGGAATGCCATTGTTTCTAATGTGGGTTCAAAGGAAAACAACAGGATAAATTCCAGGGGGAAAAAAAAAATAATTAATCTCTCCGGGGTTAAAATGTCCCATGTCACAACTCTGCAGCTGATGTGCACTGCGGTGAGAAATGCCTCCCTTTGTTTGCTCTGGGCTGAGTCAGAGGCAGGCAGGAGGTGGCTGGGCAGGTTTGTTTGGAGGAACGATTGAAGAGCAAAGGGTGAGCGCTGATCTGCTCCGACAGCACGACAAAAGGCTCAGCATGGCATCAGCTCTGCTCAGCTGCACAGAGCGTTCAGAGCTCCAGGTTCAGGGCACAAACACTGTGATGTACTTACAGACGTGCTTACCTGTCCTGCCTGTGTGTTGCACTGTTTTGTCTTATCCCGAAAGTTAAAAGCATAATTGGGTTGATGTAAAGGAAAAGGTAATTCCTCAAGGCTTTTCTGTAGGCTGTGGGATTGGCCCTATGTCTGACCACAGGCAGTACCCAGCTGTGTCATTAGTACCTTGGGAAGGGAGTTGGAAGCTCTGTAAGGTTTTGATGTTCCTACACAAACAGTCAGGATGGGCTGTGGGGATGGATGGGCTGTGGGACATTCCATGCAGAGCTACAGAGTGACGGATCCTTGAACAACGATCAGGAAAAACTGATGTGAAATGCAGCATTCCTGCAGGAAGCAATTAGGGTGACTGCTCTCACCCTTAAATTACATCTTTCTCCAAAGTTTTTATGTGCTTCTAGGGACTGATTCTCAGAGCTTGTTTTAAGACCTGCGAGCTGAAGGAGTTGGGCTTGATGGTCCTTATGGGTGCCTTCCAACTCAGGATATTCTGTGATGCTGTGTTGAAGGAGGGCATTGTGGTGTTTGAAGGGGACCTGGGCGCATGCTGGTGTTGATGCTCTGGGGCTGATGGGAGCCCTTGGGCTGAGAGTTGACACCTGATGGCGTCTCTGTGTGGCATGAACCCCAGAGATGTTGATGTGACCCCAGGTGGGACCTGAGTGCTGTTGGCTTAGCAGAACACGTGGGTCTTCTCCAGAGATGAGCGCACTGAGGGAGCTGTTACTCCAGGAAACATTAATTTCTTTAAATTGAACATTCTTTTAAATGCATCTTCTATCTCTTCTCACCTAGATTAACCCTGGAAGTAAAGCAGCCCTGGCCAACCTGTGCCCTGGGGACATCATTCTGGCCATAAATGGGGAGAGCACAGAAGCCATGACGCACCTGGAGGCACAGAACAAGATCAAGGCGTGTGTGGAGCAGCTGCTGCTGTCTGTGAGCAGGTAGGGAGCAGCTGCTGTGCTGTGTCCTCAGCAGTGTATTGCAGCGGTGCTTTGCTCTTTTTGCTCTATGTGCTCTTGTGTCAGTTTTGGTTGATCCTTCTGCAGAAGGCTTGCAGCCAACCCCAGAGCAGATGTGCCATGGGGTTTGGTTCTGGATGCATCCCGGTGCAGCTGTTCAGTGGTTTTAGACACACTGAGGCAAAAGCTGTTTTTGAAGGAGCACTGATAAAATGAGTGGGTCTGGATTCTCCCTCAGCACCTCGCAAGGGTCCCACAGGCTGAGCAGGGTCAGACCCTACATACCTCTATGGGGGTCCTGCAGCTCCTGTAGACCTGAGCAGGAGAAGCACTGGGGCCACAACCCCATTTGGGAGAAGCCTCCCATATTCTGTTGGCTCCTACCCATCATTTTCCTAAATGTCTCTTCCATGAATGTACATCTGGAGGTGCTGCCAGCTACACGTGGCAGTTTTGTTTCTTAATATTTCAAAGCAAAATGAAGGTTTGTTTTGGTTTCTTTGCTTTCTGTTGAAGTTAATCTTTTAGCTAAAGGCTTTTGATGCAAGTCACAAATGATCTATTCCTTATAAGGCTCCTAAATGGCTGTTATCTCTTAACAGAATTAAATAAATTTGTCCTAATTATCCACTTCAGATTAAAAAGGCATTTCCTGCTATGAAGAGCTGTCACTGAGTGTTTATGCTTCTCTTAGGAAATATGTGGCTTCTGACTGGTAGCCGGGTCCCAGCGCGTGGTGCAGCCACCCTGCTTGCTGTGTGAGTGCTGCTGTGAAGCACAAACCTGGTTTTGTTCCTGGGCATTCATGGGGCAGAGGTATTTACAGTGCCTGACTGCTGCAGGAGCCCAGCCGTGCCATAGTAGTTATGAGGCTTTATAAGGAAGGAAAGGGGGAGAAAGATAAAAGAAAGGACCCTTCGTGCAGGTGGGGTGTCTCCTGTTTTCACCAGGAGCAGTTTTCAGAAGGCTGCTACCAAGGCTTGTTTCTTGGCCCCTTCTATCCATTGGCATCAATTGGCATCTCTTTGCTCATAGAAACATAAAGTGGCTTAGATTGGAAGGGACCTTTAAAGCTCATCTCGTTCCATCCCCTGCCATGGGGAAGATTGCCAACCTCTAGATCAGGCTGCCCAAAATGTCATCTCCCACCTGGCCTTCAATGCCTCCAGAGATGGGGCACTGCAGCCTCTCTGGGCAGCCTGGGTTGGTGCCTCACAGCCTCTGGGAAAACAATTCTTCCTAATGTGTAACAGACGTCTCTCCTCCTTTAGTTTAAAGCCATTCCCCCTTGTCCTGTCGCTGTCAGACCCTGTAAAAAGTCTGTCCCCCTCCCTTCAAGTACTGGAAGGCTGCAATGAGGTCTCCCTGGAACCTTCTCCAAGCTGAACAGACCCAACTCCCTCCAACTTAATTCATAGGATGCTCAGCACTCTGACCATCCTCATGCCCCTCCTCTGGTCCTACTTCAGCAGCCCCACATCCCTCCTGTTCTGGGGGCCCAGCCTGGACACAGTACTGCAGATGGAGCCTCACAAGGGCAGAGCAGAGGGGGACAATCTTTTGTCGAGTGAGATGAAGTTGCAGGTATTCTTTTTTTTGCCCTGAACTTTCTGTAAACGTGTCAGTATGTGAAGCGTTGTCCTGTAATGCTGAAGTTATTCAGTACTTATATGTCCATGTTTATATGCAGAAGATAAAACTTCACTGAATAGTGAAAGGGAACGTTGTCATCACAGCAGCTTGAAGACTTCTTTCCATCTGCCCAGCCAGATGTGGGGCTGTGCCAGTGGCCATCGCTCACTTTGTGCCCAGCAAAGCTCCAATTGCTCTGCGATGTGCCTGCTGGAGGTGGAAACTTTGTCATGCCTGGAACGGGGCTCTGCCAGATGTGACTCAAGTGCCTTGATGAAATCATCAGATTTTTCAACTGTTTTTTTTTTTTAATCTGTAAGCTGAAGGCTGTATGGCTGACCCCAATTCATGCCTATAGAACAGGGACAGGAGGAGGGTCCCCCACCTGGTGGGGACTGAGAGAGTCAGGGACAAGCATTGGCAGTCAGCCACTGAATTGTGGGCATTAAACTCTGAGCTGTGTGCATCCTGCTGTAGGAACCTGATGGAGGTTGCTGTTTTGAGGCAAGATAATTCAGGGGTTCCTGACCTTTATCCCTGCTGGCATGTTAGGACAAAGAGATGATGCTTTTATTTCAGTTCAGCATGCTGTGCTGACAGCGCAGTGTTTCGGGAGCTGCAGCAGTTGCCCTGTGCAAGCATTGTGCAGTCCTGCTGTTCGCCCATATCCTATAAAGGAGGTGATTTGTTCTTCAGAGCAGTTTCCCATTTTGGTGCTCTGTAGCCCAGAGCTTGCTGGCAGCAGTGTTTGCTCCTCAGAGGAAACTGGCTGTATCACAGAATCGTATCTGAGAGGTCTTTTCCAACCTTCCTGATTCTGTGATTCTTTGTGTGTGTGTAAATGCAGGTTTAAATCCCCTGGCTGGAGGCAGAGAGCAGCAGGGGCCCATGGGGAGGTCTGTGTGTGGGGTAGCTTAGCTCAGCAGCAGGGCCATCACAGGGCCTTATGGTTGTTCAGCTGTGGGGTTCTTCAGAAAGTAAATGCCTTGCAGGGCCCTGAGAGCTGTCTGTGACCCCTCCTGATGGGAAACTCTGACATTGGTGCCACTGTGACATGAAACAGGGTTGGTTTAGTCTTCAGGTTGTGTTCAGTGAATTGCCTTTGGTTGGAAGTAGGAAAGACAGGGTGAAAATCATATGGGGGGAAAACAACAGGAAGAGTTGTTGGCCATCCAGTGGGGCTGGCACACAGATCTGGGTGTCCTGACAGCAGCCTGACCCACCTGGGCACCCCATGCACGCAGTGCCCAGAGCCCTTTGGATACAGTGGGGGATGCTGATTATCATTTATCAAGCTTATCTGATGAAGATTCTCAGTCATACTGATGGGTAAGCAAATAAAGAACCAGGATGAATGGTAGTTTGTGTGCAGGATAAACCTCTGGGGTGTAAAGCTTTCCCATGTAGCACAGACTGTGTTTGCTCCCTGTGCTTGGGAGGAACCAGCTGAAATGGGTTTTGTACTGGGATAGGGACTGGCACCAGTGAGGTGTGACAGTGTGGGTGAACTGCAAATGGACGTGGGCCTCTTCCTTAGCACAGTCTGTCATTAGAGACCTTACACTGGGTTTGGCTCTCTTGCCTGGTGGCATGGCAGGAGCTGCCTCTGCTTTCAGTCTGGAAGAAGACAAACAGAGTGCTTCTGACCAAAGGCAAACGTGCAATTTCCTGGCAGCACGATGGGAAGCAGAGCTGAGAGCAGCCTGGCTCTGCACTGAGTGCTGGGAGGATGGCAGGAGGGGCATGCAGTGTCTCTGCTGAGCAGCAATGAGAAGCTGTGAAAACTGAATAATTGCAAGCTGGAAAACTGCATCTAAATTCTCCTTGATGCTTATTAAAATAATTTTTCTCCCCTTAACCCACCTTGTCCTCCTCCTGGAAGGCTGTCAGTCCTCGGGCTGGTTTATGCTGTGTGTGCTGTGGCCCTGAGCTGACTGGCACAGCTTGGCCTCTTCTCACGTAGTGCTGTGTGGTGTTCTTATTTTTTTTTCTAAAGAAAGCCTCGCCTGTTCCTTTATACATCAGTGTCTCTTGTGGTTCTGGTGCAGCCCTGGTTATTTGAGAAGACTTATTTCTTCAGATGGGTTTATGCTTCAAGTGAAAGCAGCCACAGAGCTCAGTTGGAACTGTGCTTTGCTGAAACCCATGTGAGGCTGCAGTGTGGGCTCTGCTCACTCCTGTTTGTCCCAGGCTGGGGATTCTCAGGAAGGTGCCTCCCTGGAGAAGGAAGCCCAGCGATGGGATCTGCCTGGACCCACACTTTCTAGAGTCACTTGTCTCTGCACACATCTTTCTGGATGCTCTGTTGGCCTGAGCCACGCTGCTGGGAGGTGGAAGTGTTACAGTGCATGATGTACTGCTCCTGGAAACTTGAGAACAACTGAAAAAGTGAATCACAGCTTCCCCTCTGGAGCCATGTGAGGATGAACAGAGGGGAAAACCAACAGTGTTCCAGTGCATGGCGCCAGGGGAGAGAAGGCAGCAGCCCCACAGCTGTGCTCTGTGTGAGGTGCTGGTGTGGTAGGGGCTGATCCTGCACCCTGCAGCATCATGGGGAGCATCGTGAGTATCCCCTCCTTGCAGGGCAATGTCTGTGTAGGCAGCAAGAGTCACCTCTGCAACTGAGACCTCAGTGGTGGGAGATGGGCAGAACCCAAAGCTGCTGCCCTACAGAGGCACTGTGTGGATGTGGTCATAGGGAGAGGTGGTGGCACATCCTGGGCTGCACTGCTGAGCACTTCATGTGAGCATGGGAAGGGCTGCGGGATGGGGATGTAGGGATTCTTACAGTGTGAGAACGACTCTGTCAATGCAGAGAGCAGGAATGGCAGATTGCTACCAGGTGCAAAAACATTGTGGTGAAAATGTGTGAGTGTGAGTGAGTAATTCTTTGAAAATGATACAGAGTCTGTTAGAAAACAAATTGTGGGGTAAAAGGTGTCTGCAGCTTGCTTTATTTGTTTTAGGTTTGTCTTGTTAATGAGTCTGTTTCCCACGCAGTCTCATGTCAGGTTATTTTCCTTAGGATTGTCCGAGCAGCCATCAGAATAGAGCAGTGTTATTAATGTGGAGTAATGATTTCCACATAGCTGACTTTAATCCCCTGCAATGTATCTGAAAACACTTTTCCCATGAATTAAACAGCTTGGAACATGTAATTGTGGTGTCTGAGCTCTCAGCCATTGTGTTGCAGAGTGTGATTGGCCACTGCTGTGCCCGAGCAGCACAGGGTGAGTGCCTTGGGGTGGCCCTGCTGAGCCCAAAGCCCCTAATGGGGCTCCCTGGTGCTGGAGATGCTGTTTTGGGTTCATTCCTGTTCCCCTGGGAGAGGGGAAGTCTCTGAGCAGGAATGCCCCCAGTGCTTCAGTAGACCTTGATTTCTCTTGGGTAGGGCTGGCTGCTCCCCTGATCTCCTCTGCTTGGCAGGAAGTCTCTGAAGATGTTGGATAGAACCGAAGCTGTGCTGTATCAATTTAATTTCGGAGCAGCTCAACTGGAAGCTGCTGCTGAGGTCAGTCTGGGTTTGTTCCGGCCACTGCTGGGGGCTGGTGAGGTTGCATCTTGTGTATGTGGGGAAGCTTCTGGTTTCTCCAGGGGAGTGATGGCAAAGCTTTTGAGTTTCATCATTAAAACAAACTATGATCAGGCTTCTACCTGGGTGCCTGCACTCTGACCACCTCTGTCACTAAGCGTGCAGACCCACAGCTCTGGGAAATGCACATTTAGCTGCACTCTGAGATGGGCTCATTGGTTGGGGGCTGCAGCCTGGCAGTGCTTGTGCAAAGAGGATGTGCTGCTGTTTATCTCTCCTATCTACTGCAAGGACGGCTTTGTGCATCGCACTTATTTACTGGCAAATCAAAATCTTTGGGGATTTGTTTTTATATGAGCTGTATTTGGCATGTGGGCTGCAGAGCTGTGCAAACAGGAGAGTTGTAACCGCCTGCTCCTCAGCAATGGTGTGAGCCAGCATTGGGCTGATGCAGAGCGTGGGGGGAAAGCACGGAAACTGTAATGAGGTCTTTGCCAATGTAATTAGGAGCTCTCATTGTTCTGGGCCTCCAGATGAGATTCTGAATGCAGAACTCTGGTTCTGAATGTGGAAGCAATACGTGCAGCAGCAGATGATGGTGAATGCTGGGAATGCTGTCGTTCCCAGGAAGGTCAGCTTCCTCTGTCCCAGCAAACAGCAATCTGGGAGACCAATTTAGGCAGAAAGGTCTGAGCCTAAAATCAAGCAATTGTGGTGGAGAGAGCTTATCAGAACGAGACATCTAAGTAGGAAAAAAGATCAACCTCCTTCCTGTTGAAAAAAGCAGTGATGGTGAGACTGAGTGGTGATTTGGAGCAAAAAAGCCTCAGTCCTCAGGACAGCATCCCACTGTGCGTGAAGGGCAGCGGCAGTCTTTGGTTTTTTGGGTTTTGAGTCAGGCTCTGAGTTTGTGGGGTGCGTGGCAGCGTAAAGCAGGGCTGCCTGCAGGTGGGTTTCAGTGGAAAATACTGAACCCAACACTCCTCATCATGGATTCCTGGGTTAAAATATGCTCCTTTTTCACACTTGGACTCTGCAGATAATTAAACCCAAACTGAACACAGCACATGTCAGAGGCTGGAGTCCAAGCATGGGCACTGGGCTGCAGTGATTGGTGCCTCCTGGAGCAAGAACACTTTCACTAAGGTGTGCATGCAGGCAGCGAGGTTCAGCACAATGATGTTCATTGTGTTCTGCATTTCTCATCTCACTCCTTATCCCTGGTGAGGATGAGAAGCAATGGAGCAGGCTTTGTCCATTCTGGCAACAACGTATGGGCAGTTGTATGGTGATGTCTTTGCAGAACCAATGTTATCTGCTTCCCATTTGGCTCTTGAGCAGCACAGACCTCCAAGCCATTTGCTGCCTGGTGTGGCAGTGCTGGAGGAATGGAGGTGAATGAAAACTGGATTTCAAGGCTTTCCCCAGCAGCTGCGTTGAAAGGGATGAGATGGCTCGTTCTGTACATGCCTTCTCACTGGGAAGCAGCTGTTGTTCCTGCTGTTCCTGTATATAGTTTCTACCATGTTGTACTTGTATGTTCTTGGATATCTGTATCTGTTTTTTTTGGAAGTTTCTTTTTAAATCTAAGCTGAATGTACCTGATTTCCCGTTACAGAGCTGAGGGGAGGAGCTGGTCACCGCCCATACTGGAGGATGGGAAGGCACAAGCCTACCGCATCAACATCGAGCCTGAGCCGCAGGTAGGAGAGCAGCAGGACGGCTGTGCTGGGCAGCAGAGCCCAGCCTGGGAAAGTGTTCTCCTGGGTTTGTGGGCAGAAATGACAGCGTGGGGATGGGGCAGGAAGCAGGGCAGAAGAGGAATTGATGCCTGCCTGGAGCAGCAGGGCTGGGGCTCAGGGATGGAGCTCATGGTCCCCAGCTTGTAATGCCTTCCCACACTGCTTCCTGCTGCACCTGCCTCCTGCTTCTCTAAATTCACCATGTCCTCCTAACCCTGTGGTGGTGATCTGTTTAAAGGGTGGTTGTCTGGGGTTTGCCTATGGTCTCCTCTCTTCCTGTCTCACTCCTTTCTCTTCCTTTTTCTGTCTTTCAGCTGTTCTCCCCTCTGTCCTCAGCTCTTTCCCTCGACTTTCCTGTGCACCCTGAGTGTCCTGGCCCTGTGTCTGCAAGGTGATGGCACTGCTGCCTGCAGTAGCCAGAAGGTGATGGGCTGAACTGATCTCGTCCTGCACCCATCTCCTGCCCAGCAGCTCCTTAGCAAATTCACAGGTGACTCTGGCCCTCCTCAAAAGGCAGAGGAAAGCTGTCTTTCTGCTCCTGTTCAGCATCCCAGCTAGCTGAGTGTGCTGCATGGGATAAAATTCTGCAATGGCCACAGCCATTGTTCTCAAATACCACTCATATGGTTCTTCTCTGCCCAAACGTGGTTTGTGTTGGAGGCTGTTCCATAAGAGCCCTTCTCCAGTGCTTGCAAAGCCCTCGGGAGCAGGTGCTGCTGGCTTGGCTCTTCTGCTCCTTGTAGCAACCAAGCATCCTGAGTGGACCCTGAGGCTCCAGGGTGAATACCAAAGCAGTTAATGTGAAGCTGCTGGGGGTAGCAATTGCCTTGTTCCCTTCAAGGAATGAGGAATTGACCTGACAGCACTGGAAGTTACCCAACAATGAGCTCAGTGCAGGGAGGATGGGGTCAGGTCCTCCATGTGCCACCAAGATCGCTGCATTCACACCCATTGATGCTGTGGTCATTGCAACTGCTCTGCCAAAATCTTGCTTTCCTGTGTGGTGAGAAGGGGCAGCAGATGGGGACGAGGGCATTCACTTGAGCTGCAGCACAGTGGCCGTGTCCCTGCAGAAGGGACCCCTCTTGTCCCTCTTGCAGTGTGGGGACCAGCTGGAGCCTTGGCGTTGAGTTCTGGCCGTGCGTGCTTCATTAATCCATTACAGCAATCTCTTTTCTGACAGGCCTTCTTAATAGACTTTGATGTGCCCAAAACCCTATGAATAATGTTAAATAAGGAACAAATGTGCAGCGGTTCCACTGCCAGATACAACATTTCTGACATTTAATGCAGATTGGGTTTGATTCCTACTATTAATATATGCTACATATGGATCTTTTTAAAAAATTAGACAGTTACATTGAGTGTCATGAAGGGGGCAGGGATGGATTTCCCTGACTCCAAACCTACACAAACAATGTCTAAATCTGGAGCAATCAGTGGCTAACCTAAACACATCTGTGGCAGGGCACCAGGAAAGGCCTGGGAGCATGATGGAGTGGATTCAGAGAGCACATTCCTGCTCGTGCTCTTCCCAATGACTGCAACCCAGGGGCTCCTTGCAGCTGGTGGGCAGCAGCCCATTTCCCATTTCTTCTCACCCAAAAGCCCCTCGGATCAGGGTGCTTACTGGTTGGGAATCTACTTTCTGCTGGTAGTCAGAGCTTTGCATTATCACAAAAATCCTCTGGCTTGTCCAATGCTGAGGATGACTGAGCTCTGGGAGTGCAGCCCATTGCAGAGCTGGCCATCATCCCATGGGAGCAAGGCACTCAGCCCCGTGTGACATCAGATCCATCCCTACCATGACAGCTCTTGTTAGATTGCAGGAAGCAAAAGGCTTGGTGTCAAGTAATAGCTTGGCTCCAGTGTGCAACCTCGAGGTACATTTCTTAGCATCTGGAAAAACACAGTCTGCTTTGAGATGTAAGGTTAAAAAAACATAAATTCCTCTGCAATTCTGCCCTCAAATTGCAATAATTTGCAATAGGTTTGGGGTTCTCCTTGAAATAGTTCTAAGATACTTATCCCAAGTGGCAGAGCAGTTCGTACGTGTTGAGTTCATACACCAAGTTTGATCTGGTTTACTGGGTGAAGGGGTTGCCCAACATGTCTCTGTGTGCCTGTGGGGTTTGTTCTGTGGTTTGGTATTGTGTCAGTTGAAAGCAAATGCATGTTCTCAGTCCATTGCAATGTGTTGAGTTGCTGTGGTGGTAACCTATGTGAGATCATCTTTACCTCTTCATTACCAGCATTGTTAGCAAGCGAGCTTCAATAATCCCAATGCATGAAAGGGGACAGAATGTTTTGTGGATCAATGGGGAAAAAAATAGGATGAAATTATCAAAATGGTGTTGGGTTTTTTTTTTTTCTATCCAAGTACCTTGCATAGCTGGTACTTACAGCTCCTATTCATTGAAATCAAATAGGAGCTGTAATAAAATAACAACAGCTTGGGCAGATTTAGGACAAAATAGCCCTTCAGCCTGGCATTTCCTAAGGTGTAGGTGTGCTGTATTGTTTTCCTTGATAACATCTGTTCCAGGGGTGACTGCTGGCATGGGGAAGGAGAGATGGCATGCTGCTGCACTGGAGAACACTTTTCACTGTCTGTGTGAAAGCACACAGAGCTCTGGTTGGGTCCATAGGGAAAGCTGACTTAATGCACTGTAGTTTCCCTTTCTGCTCACCTGGAACGATTGCTCTGTACAGCCACTCGTTATCACTCCAACATGCTCCTTGAGCCACCAACACCATCAGTAAATAACCCTGAACATGGTGATGCTCTCTGACTTCTCTGCAGGGAGCAGAGTGCTGTCTGTGCAGGAGGGCTCTGCCTGGAAGCACTACAGAACCATGAGGAGCACGTCCTGCATCCTCAGCAGAGCACACAGAGCTCCCCACTTGTCCTGCTTCCTTATGACAGTGTTAATGAAGCAGCTCTGCTCGTACAAAGCCCTCCTCTGTCTGCTTGTTAAACACACCCTTGCACGGCTGATATTAAAAACATGCCCTCTGTGCTGGAGCAGGCCACATAAATGGAAACACATTTTGATCATTCTTGCCGTTCTTGGGTAACTTTTTCCGTTGCTGTGGGTTTCTAGGAGGCTGTGGGGAAGCTGGATCCCCTTGGGGACAAAGTGCTGAGGGGCCCTGTGTGCTCCCAGTGCAGTGGCTGCTCCTGGGGGTGGGGACCCTGTGCCCCCACCGGTGGCCGTGCAGTTCTGCAGTGCTTTGCTAATGGAGAGAGATTGTCCTCCAGTCAGATGTGTGCTGTGCTCTATCAGAGCAGAACATGTGCAAGCACAGAGCTGGAATACTTTCCTAGCTTATCCCAAAAGCACTTTTTAATTTTTATTATTATTATTAATAATAATGCCTCATTTTACATCCTGGAGCGGCTTCTCCTGAGAGCACTCCTTCAGCAATGGATCGGTGCCTCCTGCCCCACTGAACAATTCTGGATGTTAAGAAATCCCCAGCCATCACTTGCACTTGATTTAGGAACTTCCCCATCCGTGCAATTGCACATCAGATGGCTGCTGTCGGGGCTGCTGTAATCCCGCTTCATTTAGCACTGGAAGGAAATGTTCTGCTGTTCCTCTTTGTTGCTTTTGCTTCTGATCCCCTGCTCCTACACAGGAGGGGACAGCAGGTCTTGTTTGGGTGTTGGTGTAATTACTCCTTGTGCACAAATCAAAGCTGCTGTATGGAGAGATGTGTGTCTCCAAAATGAAGTTTTGTGCTTTTGAACTCGTGTCAGATGGTGGGGCTCAGCTCAGCCCTGCTCCATGCTACAACAGCTTTAAGAAATGCAGTGGGAGCTTTCTTACAGTGCTTTTTTTCTTGTAGCTGGCAGAGGTTTAGCAATTTCAGAATGTAATACAGAAATAGGTCAAACTGAGTCCCTATGGAGGGAGCTGTCATTGCAGAGTGCTGCCTGCAGCATCCCGAGCTGTGGGGACTGGGAGGTGGGGCTGTGTCCTGGGTAGTGAGACAGAGGGCTTTGCTGTTGGGCAGATGTCTGCAGGATGCATGCAGTGAGGAGTACGTGGCAGGGAGAGCTCTCCTTTGTACTGTGGTTTGTACTGAAATAGAGTCTTGGCAGAAGAGCTGAGGTCCATCTCATGAAATAACTCAAATTCTCCGTTCATCCAGCTTCAGCAAACTGTGTCCTTATCTGATGATCTTCTGAGCTGAGCCCGGCAAGCAGTGCTGTGCTCAGTGAGGCTGACACCCACTTGTTTGCAAAGCAGCACAGAGCCATGCCAACAGTGTGCTCACAGCGTAGCAGATCTCTGCCAGGGAGCTGTTGAAGTGTGCGTGGCATGGGGGGGGTTTGGTGCCCTGCTGTCCCAGCTGCCTCCCACCAGCAGCCAACCTCCTGCCCCGCTGTGCTGCTCAGCTCTGTTCCCAGCTGCTCACCTGAGGATGATTTGGAATAGATGGAGAGAAGTGGCTGCACAGCATGGGCCAAAGCTGGAGGGTCGATCCATTCCTGGGGGCATGCCACAGCATCTGTCTGTTCTTTGCATTAAGACGAGCACAGTGCTGTCTGCCCTTTGCCTCCTTTGTGTGCTAATAAGATTTCCAGGACTCTGAACCACTTTATCAGATACAAAGTGCTGTGATTGCTATTGTAAAGCTGGGGATAGAGCGGAAGGGATGTCTGTGTTGTGGTTTTGTGCAGAGGCTGAATTTCAGTCCTGTTGTACACCCATGCAACATCACCAAGCCCAGGGTTGCAGCTGGCTTTCCCCACCACTGTACCACTTTCAGGCGTGGCTGCAGCCCTGCACGTATTCCAGCACAAACGTGATGCTGGCTCTGCAGAGAGGTACTTCTGCCCTCTGCTCCCCATCATTTAGCTGTACGGTGTAGAGGTCAGGGCAGAGGAATGCTGGCTGTGTCCCTGGGGCACATCTGAGCTCAATGACAGCAGCTGAGGGAGCAGCTGGCTCCATGGCTATCCCTGCAGGAGGGATGTGAGTGACAGCGTGGTCACAGTGGGACCTCTGTGCAGTGACCCTGGTGCTGAGCAATGCGCTAACTCAGGATTTTGGCAGCACATGTCTGGCTGCTGCTGTCCTGCTTGTAGGAAGGCAGCGGGTCTGAAGTACATCAGGGAGCTGCTGTTGGCTGGGCTGAGCTGAGCTGTCAGTGACCTTCAGCTTGGTTAGGTCTGCTGCTGGGTGTTATAAAGGCAGCAGGATTG